TATCAGAGTGATACTTACATTTTTGGTAAGCAGTTGTAAGTAATGGACTAAGATTATTCACTTTGCTATAGAGAGGCTCTATGAAGTAATCACTCCAGATTTTCCAGGACAGATTGAAGGTAAACATCAGGTGTTGATGGGACAGAAGACCCTAGAAATAAGATTGTTTTGAGTCTTTGCTTTGCCTCTTGAACAGAGGTTTCTACACCCACTTCGTCCTCTTATTACAAGTTCTATTGAGATGTTACATGTGTCTTTCCCCTTCTGAGCTGGTAGATCTTTCAGAGTTGTAATATTCCAATTGGGTTAAGTTTTACATCGATCGCTATTGTTTTATAAGAAATTATGTGCTGGATGAAAAATCTGAGGCTTGGAGGGTATACCATGTGTCATTTCCCCCACATTCCAAATTGACAGTTAGAAATAATAATAATAAAATCTTCCCTGTAACTAGTCAATCCTGGTCTCTAACTTCCTCTTGCTCTGGTCAACAGCATGGAAGTTAGGACTTCCAGTGTATAATAGAAAACATTCAGATTTTGAAACTAGCACAGTAGCTTGTCAGCAGGTGAGGGGTAGATGCTTCGTGAATTCTCAGAGCAGCATGGATAGAAATGACTTACCCCGGGTTAAATGATAGACCGAGAGTCAAATGAAATGAGGAAGAACTTGATGGATTGGCATCATAGGAAAACAGAGCAATGGAAGGTGATACAAAGGGCAGAGAGAGAGGGTCAGTAAGAAATCAGGAGGCAAAGGGAAGACATTTTAATCCAAGAGAGGAATAGAAGAACATCTCAGTTCTTATGCTGGTTTTGCTTCGTAGTTAAGCATGGAAAGTTGTTGAATTCAAAGGAAAGATGTAACCTAATAGTGAAAGAATACTAAGACAAAATTGCTCACTTAGCTTTGTCACATAATTGCTAAAGGAAAAAATGGGCATATCAAGTTATTATGCATCTTTTTTCCTCCCGTTGTTGTCCCTGGAGCAATTATGTGATATTGAGTTAATTGTGCTCCCTTTG